TCACTGGCCCAACGAGTGAGTTTTTATGGCACAGATGTTATTTACTTGGGTAATTCCCAAGTTACTTTACATAACTTACCTCACCTTTAACACTTCCTCAATGCAAACCCAACCTCAGTAGATTTGGCACCTGAACTCTTCCTTGTTCCAGATGAGAGACCAAGTCTGTCTCCTTAAAATGAATCCCAGGAAGGAGACTGACTTTTCTTCTAGTTCAAGTTGAAATTTACTTTCCCACTCACCATTACAAAGAAACAGCTGTCAGTCTTCTAGAACTAAATGAAAGGCCTTCAAATGGGCCTGAAACATAAAAGGGGCCCAATGAAATCTTAATAATGAGAACTATTAAGATTTAAAAGTGGAGAGCACTGGATAAAAGGTTGGGTTTTGTAAGGAAAGGAGTCCTGTTGCAGAGCTAGGGACAGCTAGCTCCAATCTGTATCATCTGTCACACCCTACACCACACAACCAGATTTTCCCACTTCAAGGTAAACTGGCTTCAGTAAATATCATAGGATAAAACCTATAAGAGAAATCACATTTTTAAATTTTGTTTGTTTACTTTGAGACAGGGTCTCCCTGTAGCTTTAGCTGGCCTGGAACTCATTATGTAGATCAGGCTGGGCTCCATCTCACAGAGATCTGCCAACTTCTGCCTCCTGCATAATACCTAGACTGAAATCACATTTTTAAAAAGTCAGTTCTATACTAAAATATTCTTATGTATGGGTAAGGGGCAACATGAAATAAGATTTGGATATAGGAAGGTCTTTAAAGAAGTCAGCTGAGGGTTTAACATAAATAAAGGCTAAGATCAGAATACAGGATATGGGAAAAAGAAGTAAACACTGCACTGTGAAGTTCGCTGAGAGAAAACTAATCTTCCTACATCCAGGAATAAGATAGGAATGAAGCAAGGAAAACTGAATAAACCAGTGACGACTGAAGTGGTAAGCATGGTTCATTAAGGAGAAAAGATCAGGGGCTGGAGAATGGCTCAGTGGTTAAGAGCACTGGCCGCTCCTGCAGAAGACACAGGTTCAGTTCCCAGCACCCACATGGCAGCTAACAACCATCCATAACTCCAGCTCCAGGGGATCCAGCCCTCTTCTGACCTCTATGGGCATTGCACAACATGGGTGCAATTACAAACATGCAGGCAATACACTCATACACATAAAATAATAATGACAACATATTTTTAAAATAAATAGAATTTTTTTTTAAAAAGCAGTCATTGCTTTTCTTTTGCAGTAAATAGTCAAAGACAAAAACAAAAGGATTCATGAAGAATTCTGGAAAGATTTACAAGGATCTACTGTGACTATCTGCTGGATGTGAGATGAAAGAACACAGGTGTCTTCTAGTTTTCAAGTTTGATATTATGCCAAAGTAAAGTCACCTCAAATAAGAATCAAACAGAAACCCAAATTGAAGACAGGGTTAGTGAAAATGAAGATATATGAAGAAGCTTTCACAATGAATGACAATGAAAAGAAAGATGAATAACATAGGATACAAAGTTAGAGATCCAGGAGCTGGAGACATGGCTCTGCGGTTAAGAGCATGGTCTGTTCTTACAGAGGACCCAGTTTCAATTCCCAGCCCTCACATGGCAGCTAACAACTGTAACTCCAGTTCTAGGGGATCTGGCACCCTCTTTTGACCTTTGTGGGCATTGCATGTCATGGGTGCACTTACACACATACAGGCAATACTCTCATACAGATAAAATAAAAATATTAAATTATGAAATGAAATATAAATTATTAATAGAGACCTAAGACTTATGATGGAGATGGACAAAACATGTTTAGTAAGTATTTCAGAAGAGGAGTTACGACGGGAGGGGAGCAAGTCATGTTTGAGTACAGAATGGTTTTCAATTCCTGAAACCAATAAAAGGCACCAAACCACAAATATGAGAGGAAGTAGAGCCTTGAGTAGGGGTTTATAAAGACACCTTTGACATTTGGCACAGCATAGCATGTACCTACTGGAAACCAGAACTAAGACAGCCAAGCAAAAACCTATGCTAATTGATCTGCAATAAGAATTATAGTGGATATGGAAACAACAGATACAATAGGGATCCAAGAAAATAGGATAAATCTTTAAAATGCTAAAAGATAGACTATCAAATCAAAATTGTAAATCAATAAAAGTATAGAAGAATATCTTCAAGTATAAAGAATCTTTAATGAAAATTTGCACTTAAGTTATTTACTTCAACTGATATAATATTTGAACTCATTAATTTTCACATTTTCATTTTTATCCTTTATATAATTTATTAAAAATTGGTATACAAGTATTTACAAGTCTTAAATCTTCTGAAGGGTATGTGTCCTGGTTTACCTTCTATGGTTGAGACAGAAACACTGACCAAAAGCGACTTGGGAGGAAAGGGTTTATTGCATCTTACTCTTCCAAGTAACAGTCCATCACTGAGAGAAGCCTGGCAGGAACTTAAGCAGGGCAGGAACCTGGAGGCAGGAGCTGAAGCACAGACCACGGAGAAATGCCGCTTACTGGCTTGCTCCCCTGGCCTGTGCTCAGCTTGCTTTTTTATACAACTCAGGACCACCTGTCCAGGGGTGGCACCACCCAGAGTGGGCTGAGCCCACCCACATCACTCAGCAATAAAAAAATACCTCACAAGCATGGCCACAGGCCAGTCCAGTAGAGGAAATTTCCCAGCTGAGGTTCCCTCCTCCCAGGTGTGCCAAGTTGAAGCTTGTGCTGACGCTATCCAGCACAGTATACAAGAAGCAAAGATAATCTTATTTGCACCAATAAAATTAATCATCTGAACATTAGTCAGTTTAAAAACATATTGAAATATTGTTTCCATATACAAAATATGTATATATTTTGACAGAAACACTCAAAAGTTAAGGTAAAAGAAATAGACTTTCTTAATGCATACTTAATTTTGCTCTGAATAATAACAATAATAATTAAAACCACATATCTTTCACCAAATTAATTGGACAAAATGCCTAAAGACATAACTTTTTGTTAATGGTGCGGTGGGGAAATAGACCTCTTCAACATTTATTATTGATATGCAAATGCAGTAAAAAATCTACAGAGACTTTTTGGAACCAACCCCACCAAGTTTACAAATATATTTCTCTTTGATTCAGTAACGGCATTTCTGAGAATTTACCCTATAGATAAGCATACTATACACAATTGTTTTCTAAAATGTTTAACATTAAAACAAATTTGTGGTAACAAAGCTTTGAAAAGAATCTCAGTGCCTACCAACTAAGATCTACTTAAATTATGGTTCTCATACACAACTAAATAAATGCAAAGCTTTAAAAAGATTGAACTTGTGGGGAGTGTTGGTACATGCCTTTAATCCCAGCACTTGGCAGGCAGGTGGATCTCTGTGAGTTCAAGGCCAGCCTGATCTACATAGCGAGTTCCAGCCCAGCTGGGGCTACAGGGAGACCTGTCTCAAAAAGACAAAAAACAATAGAATATACATATAATTCTCTGCATCATGTTATTAGATAAA